ACCATGTAAGAAAGGTGTTTTTCATTAAAAAATCTATTTATAATACTAATATGGAGTTTCTCAATTCGGCTCGTATATGTTCCTTTAATTGAAAAATTCTTGGTATTAAAAAGCACAAGTCAGGTTTGATGACTTTTCGAACATAATGATTACTAATCGGTTCCGATATTTTTAGATTTTTAAACAAGATTTCTATAAATAGTTGATTAATAGAAATCTTCTTCATTTATAGGCCAAGAAAAAAATTTTTTTTTTATTGCTTAGATGGGTAGACGAGCTCACAACCCACCTGATGTTAAGTGATTACTGAAGCCCGTATACATCTACGACGTAAATGCGCCACCCACCTTGAGATATAAGTTCTAAGGTCTCAGTATAGTTACCGCCTATTTAAAAAACAAATTTTGAAAAATTAGTTCATTGCCTCTCTCATGTCTGGTCTTATAACATCATCCCAAAAATATTGCTAATCACATTCTTAAATCCAACTAATTAGAACACAAAAGGAATCTTTCGTGAATTCCATTCCGGCATTACTAACTCAATTAGTGTCGGAACATACATAGGTCTGTCTCACGTGTCAGGACCACAAATAAGGATTTAGGTCCAATTTGGTACTGCCTACGTGACCTCAGAGATATCTGATCCAAAACTATGTGCGGAGTTCCCTCATTCTATTTTCATTTCACGCGGTGTATTTATATCAATGTTAATGGTATTGCGTTATTTCATTCTTAATAATTTAACTCTTTCTCTCTCTCTCTCTCAAAACCAATAATTAATAGGTAAGAATTAATAGGAATAAATATTAATTTACTCACCATAATATATAATTTCGTAGTAGTTACAATTTTTAAGGGTAAAAATATATACAAAAAATACAATAAAAACCGGATCCCAAACATTTGGGTTTTTTAATTAAATATATAACAGATTAGTTACACAATAAAATAAACAATTAATGGCAGTATCAACACTAAAGTTACGCAGTGGTAGAAACTATTAAGAGGCGTTAAAAGTCACAATCTCTAATAAGTCCAAATCAAATTCTGAATTCCCAACAATAAAACACCTACAAACTTGTTTTAAAAGTATGTTTACAAAAATTTTCAAACGAGAAAGAAAAATTGTTTTTTTAGTCAAAATCAAATCACCGCAAAAGAACTTTTATTACGAAAGACCGTTTTTTTTTGTATTTGAACCCTGAATACATTATGGTAAACAGAACTCATATACACATTTCTAATCTAATATGCGTCAGGTGCCCGGCCTGTCAACTTTACAATACTTTCTCTAGAATTTTGTAAAACCAATGCGATCAAATTTATCTGGAAACAAATTGATTTTATCCACCTATTCTGATTTGACATCGGTAATCCCACTCGAGTAGGTATCGCCATTCTATCTATTTTTACTATTAATATAGTTAAATTTAAATTTAGAAAAAGGGCCATGTTTATGAGTGTATCACTCACGCTTTTTAAACGTGCCATTCGTACAAAAGTGTATATCTGTTTTTAATACAAGTTTAAGTTATAAAAAAATATTTACCTCAGCTAAGAAAATATAGATCCAGGATCGAAATTTCAGTGTTCCTGTTACCGCAGCGGTCACTGAAATATTCCTAAGCCCACCACGTTTCAGAGCGGATCGTCAACTACAGCGGGCCAAGTTCGCTCGCAAACTTCTAAGACTTATGACTTCGAAGCTATGTGCTGGAACGAGACGAGAATTACAAGGCTTCCCGGACTGACCACAAAATGAATATTAATGTATCGTCGGAGGGTTTTTGTGGGCTGTTGAGTACGGATTCTCGTGTCGAACAACAATATTCTCGAGGGATATGAATTTATTAAAGATCCGATCGATCTATATAATAAATAAAATAAATAAATAAATATTTACTAACAATCACGCCACGTTAACTGGTCCCGTGATAAGTTCGTAAAGAACTTGTGTTACAGGTACCAGATAACGGATATAAATGTAAGATTTTTATTATACACATGCATATTATATTTAATAGACATCCATAACCCTGGAAAAGACATTTATATTTATCATACAAATATCTTCCCTTGGCGGGATTCGAACCCGCGACCCCCTTGTGTAGTGACCATGTCACTTACCACTACACCAGACGGCCGTTAAACCGTATATGACTTACCAGTTTGTTTTAATCAAAAATACTCCGTCACAACGTTTGTTTGGCAATGTGGCGTTTACCGTATTGAATTAAGCTTTGTTTTGAAATATTCTGATTCTAAATTTTACAGTCATAAAGGTTACCATTGTATCAAATAGGAACGCATGACATGTAGATAGATAATGGATGGCATTTTACACGTACTTCATTACCTTCGAAACTTTTGGTAGTGTTTTGATTACGCTATTGTCCATTCTTTGTTGAATGATTACAGTAGTGCATAGACGAAGTGACAGGACAGTGATATAAATCAGTCAAATTTATTATTCTGTTTTGCAGTTTGCTTTATTTTTTTAAGTATTTTTTTTTTGCAGTTTACTTTAATTTTGAATATTTTTTCATGTACGCAAGAAACATACCAGACTAACAGCTTTATTATTCCGTAACATTCTCATGGTTCTGCGGAACTATCGCACTGGTATCCCGGTTTTTGTTGTGCCTTCTAAATTTAATGTTGCCTTTTCACGTTTTTCGAGAAACTACGGAGTAAATGGAAAAGTATTCAGTTTGCATTTAATATGCAAGTTCCACATTGAAAAATTAAGTTTTTAAATTTATATATCGTGGAATGTTTTGGCAAGATTTTACATGTATTGAGTAAAATCTCAACATTCCTACAATTTGTATAGAGAAAAAAACACTAACGCTAGTAATGGATTTAATTTAATTTATTCTATTCACGTCTAGTCACTGATCATACAACTTTGTCAATTTTAAAGACAAGGATATTAAGCCAACCATTTGCAAAGTCTACTAAAGGATTAAGAAATGTATGGAATCCTAGCTCGTTATCAATCATCCGACGCAAGTCTTCTATTAAGATTAATTATTGTTACTTGTATTGTTGGAGTTTATTAAAATTGACTGAATTTAAAAGTAAAACAATATACTATAGTTATCAACTCGATCGACAGGATAGTACCAAGCAACCTTTCCTATGCAGTTAATGTTGTAAATATAAACACAATAACAATTTTTTTTCTTTTTTTTCTTCCTGCCCTTATTGCAAAATATGTGGGGTTAGGGCAGCATGTCCCCTTTGAGACAGTCCCTCAAAGTCTTTTTAAAATTCCTTCTCTTCACATTACCGTCACTATAGCCAACTGTATTAAAGAAAACTTTTTTCTTGGTCCTTGATTAATTGTAAAATGCAGCTTCAATCTTATTATACATATTAAAAGTGGGTAGCGTGATCGCGTAATCTCCGTTATCTTTCATTATATTTAAACAACATTATGTATTATAGAACCATACTTTGTTTGTCATGTGATAAGTTGCTTCCACTTTTTTTTTAATGCTTAGGTGGGTGGACTATCTCACAGCCCACCTGGTGTTAGGTGGTTACCGGAGCCCATAGACATCTACAACGTAAATGCGCCACCCACCTTGAGATATAAGTTCTAAGATCTCAGTATAGTTACAACGGCTGTCTCACCCTTCAAACCGAAACGCATTACTGCTTCACGGCAAAAATAGGCAGGATGGTCGTACCTACCGCGCGGACTCACAGAAGGTCCTACCACGAGTAAACGTCATTTCACCAAAATGTTTTGCATTTAATTTCTGTAAGTCGACATCCTTATTGATCATTACATAGATCCAGTCCTATTTATGGTTGGACGAAACCGACATAAATCCCATCATAATAATCTCTTCAAAGGCCTCATTATGAAGAAACAGAACGAAACGTATCATGCATGAAATGATCCTTAAAGATAACAATGGATTATAGGATTTAACATTTAATCATTGATCATTAGGATAACTTCTACACTTGTTAGTTTGAACGGTATAATCCGTTGCATAATTATGTAAATTCCATCGTGAATATTCGAACCTCGATTAAACAGAGTTTCACGTTCAAATCGTTGTAACTAGAGCACTGAAATTAATGTCATAAAACAATTACGCAGGCCCGTTGATATGAAGAAACACATTTCTAGAATATTCGATAATTTTTTTTGTAACCTATCTGAATATGGAAATCGTCGTGGCCTAAAGGATAAGACGTCCGGTGCATTCGTATGTAGCGATGCACCGGTGTTCGAATCCCGCAGGCGGGTACCAATTTTTCTACTGAAATACGTACTTAACAAATGTTCACGATTGACTTCCACGGTGTAGGAATAACGTCGTATAATAAAAATCAAACCCGCGAAATTATAATTTGCGTAATTACTGGTGGTAGGACCTCTTGTGAGTCCGCACGGGTAGATACCACCACCCCGCCTATTTCTGCCGTGAAGCAGTAATGCGTTTCGGTTTAAAAGGTGGGGCAGACCTTACTTATATCTCAAGGTGGGTGGTGCATTTACGTTGTAGATGTTTATGGGATCCAGTAACCACTTAACACCAGAAAAAAATATATATATTCGAATATATATTTTTTGCCTATCTGAATATGCGTCGCTTATTATCCCTATTCCACGGTTCCGTCGAAGTTCCCCTATTTAGCTTCTTGAGTGATAGCCGCTGGAATCTCCCCTAATTTCCATGAATAATAACGTCGACCACGCAACCATTACTGAGCATTTTTATAAAAACCATTCCATAACTGCGGTTAATGACCCACTCATTTATTTTTCTTGTGCATCAACGAAGCTAAGTTATAAATGAAACACGATTTACGATCTTTTTTATTTCATCAACATTTTACATCGATTTAATTTTACTTTCATGTGTACAGTATGAATTGAGATAAGAGAATAAAAAATTCACAGTGCAGATACATGATAATAACAATATAATATAGCATTTGAGAATATTTTCGTGCTGTCTTTTTTTTAAGTTATTATATTTAGAATCGAACTCAAAAAAAAACGGTGTCAATAAGTAGAGAAAAATACAAACTTTATTCAAATAACGAATCCATTAGTTTTATTTACATTAAAATCTTACCGCACTATTTTCGAGTCTACCGTAGCTTTTCAAGCCCCGTCATCTGTAGACTCTCCTATTTAAATCACAAGATTGTATTTATTTTTCCGAGATATTAATTCATCATAGCTCTTGTCGCCAACCGTAATAAAATTGCGAATTGGAATCAGTTCCGAGACATCTCGGGCTGAGCAATTCAGGTGTACTTTGTTCCTCTTTACATCTACTTCTAGTGAATCTAGCATCTATGTTTCTAGATTGGGAAGGCATAGTTTCCATATTACCATACATACTAACGCCTGCACATGGATATACTGTGGAGAGTGGTCTCATGGCTCGTATAGTGTTTCTGGTCACACCATCTCTATACACCATCATGTCTGGATGCAACGGATCGTAGAATGTTCCAGAAATATGACTGACGTCAACGTCGTTGTCCACGTCCGAGGCAATGTCGCTGAACACATTGGGTGCTTCAGTTGAAAACATATTGCCGTTTTTTGAATTGTTTTTTTCTTTTCTCGTTTTATAACAGTAGAAACCAATAAATATGAGTATGCATATAACAATAATGGTGATTGTTAAGCCTGTATACATAAAAATGTTCGGGTTCAATATTGTATCTGAAAGAGTGAAAAATTTAGGATGTTTGTTTATTTATTGTTTGGAAATAAAGTATGAATACACAATTGCAAGCCAAATGTCTTGAGGCATAAGATCTATAACTTTCATTATAATAACGATTTTTCTACCCTTCAAACTGAAACGCCAATTTTTTCGTTCAATCTCCCTACATTCAAAATATATCTTTAAAACTTCTTAATGTGGTTATTCTGTATTTATTTGGAGCTATTACCTGGTCCTTTTTGTAGGGGGATTTTAGTAGCACGTACTGTAGTCTCCTCAATTTTGTCCAGATCAATGGTCGGTTCTCCAGCGGGTAGTTGTACTGCCGACCCGGTGCCGGGCTCACTGAATTTTTCTCCAGCCTCTTCTGTTAATTGAATGATACGCTCATGTTAATATAAATAACAATTTTCTAAAGGCACCCTGGTTATGCACGACTATTTTACGTGCATCACGAAGACAGTCTAAGACTTATCACGTACCTTAAAAGGTTTCCTAGTGGATACAAGTAAGATTTAGTAGAAATGGACTTTGAATTAGGTCAGAGTCGTAAAACACCCGATACATGTATTCCCAGATCGTAGAAATGAAAATACACGGAAGATACCCTAAAACCTAACTTTCATTGGAATAAAATCTCAAATAATGGTATAGTCTATTCTTTAAATGCAGCAGAATGACCTCGAGCTAGAAGAAATCATTCGTGAAGACTTACTAAGTAAATAAGCATCAGAAAAATTGGTACCGGCCTGTGGTATTCGAATACCGCTACAGACGCATCGCAAGAATACGAAAGCACCGGGCATCTTAGCATTTAGGCCACAATGACATCAATAAAGAAAGAAAGAAACGATTAACAAGAAAAATATTTTCTCCGGTCCTCGTCCGCCGTAGATATAATTAAATCTATTTTTACGATTTGCGGTCACCAAATATTGCAAGTAAAGTGTGGTGGTACTTTTCCACCACATACCATCCACCACCTGTAGTAAAGACGTAACCGGAACCCATTCATCTTCTATAGTAACCCTGCACGAGTAGGAGTCACCGACCAACAATTAGTGCTCTAACTATAAAGACTTTCAGCTATCCATACAGTGATTAAAACAGGTTTGGATAATGATCATTGGGATATTAGAAGGTGACGCCTCTGATGTGGCAAAGCTCTTAAAGTCTATTTTCAGTATCGAATTATTGAATACTCATATTAATATTCTCATATTCGAAAAAGCATTATGTGTGTTCAAGATTTAAAATATTCGAAGCTTAAAAACATTTGGTATGACAGCTTTTTTATCTCAATAGTAGTTTTAGTTTTTTTTTTTTCACTCACCAGATTCATCAAACAGATTTCCATTTTGGACATTGTCTTCGTCGATTTCGTCTCTTTCCATTGCGCTCTCATAACGTTCATTCAGAACACCTAAAGGCACTGGAACATAATATATAAAGTTAAAAACCAGCAAAGCATTTTCCGGTAATGGCGTACTATCATCATCTACATGTGTGAGCCCGAAATTAACACTGCTCTGCTCATTCCTAGCGTGAAGCATAATATGTTCTGGCTTGAAGAAAAGTTCGCAATTCTTTCAAAATTATGCATAAAAAGGTTTTTTTCCGATCTTTTAATCAAGTTCAGAGCGAGCTAAATACAAACATTTAAGGTTTATGTGTGGTGCCTTATAACTAACTATAACACTCGAAATGATATATAAAACTTTGTTTTACAAATAAATTATCCGTTGTAAAAGGATTACACTCTAGAATAAATTGTTTTTAAATTCAGATTTTAAGTATGTACGGAGAAATATTTCACGTAGGTAAAGATGTGGTTGCTAATGGACTATGAAGGGCCATCACAAACACAACTGTTACATAACTATTTTTTAATCTCAGAATCCACTTATTGCATGTGGTTACCGAAGTCTGTAGATATCACTAAGTGAATACCGCCACCAATCCTGAGACTAGGTTTAGCTAAGACTTAACTGATAAAGACTTAACTGTAGTCATAACAACAGTAAAATCATTCGAAACGGAACGAATTACTGATTTGCGGCAGAAATAGGTAAGAAAGAAATAGGCAATTATCTACCAAATTACGAATTACAAAACGCCCTTGCAACCTGCAAAATAAGTCAATGTTGAAACAAAAAGTTGTCTTAAGAATTACCTTGCATAATATTTACTTTACCGTATTTTTTATCATTGCGAAAACAACAACAACACGAAATTATGTGAGATAGTAAATATGACAAAAAAAATAACACGGTGCATACAGTTGCGATTCTCAAATCTAAAACTCGCAAAATCATGTTCATACAATCTGCTGTGTATTCTGATATAATTCCACATTCAACATTTCAGCTCCGCTGCTCACTTTACTGAGCTTTCCGAAAATGAGGTTGTTCATATGCATCTCCTTCTAGTTATGCAAATAACTGAGGACCAACTACTTAATGTTTCTGCTGCACCATCCTAAGTTTGAAGACTGCAAATGGCTTAAGTTTATTTAATGTTGATGCTACGTTTGAGATTTTTGGCCGTTTACTATGTGACGGTATTCGCTGAATATTTAGGAAGAGGCATTTTTTATTGCCAAGCAGTTACGTATATCCTAATTATTAAAAGGCATTGCTGTTCATGATCTCTGCTTTCCCGGACACGGAACGACTTGGCCGCGCCCTAAATAATTGCCCAAATAAACAAACGAATGTATTTATTTTTCATTCTTTCGCCGCTTCATGAGCTCTTAATACAGAGTCTTTCGAACCCCAATAATTCTCAATCAAGATTTCTCGTCTACAACAACTCTTTTTTCAAATACCTTCGAGAATATTCTAAAAAAAAGAAACGGGCGAATTTTAAAAATAAGAAACACGAAATCTTGAAAATGTAGATGAAATTTTAAAATTCTCATAAAAGATTTCCAGTCCGGTGTGGAAAAAAAAAATATGAGTAATTAAAACAGGTCAAAACACTTTTCTTTTTAAGATTATTTTAGGGTTTTTCTCAACTTTAATTTATGAATTTAATGTAAGAAATGCTTAGCTTCAGACCTTTTTTTAATTTAACTTATTTTGTTTGGTAAATAAACTGGTTTCTAATTATAGGAAATCGACTAGGCCATCCTTATAATAATATATTTCATGATTTAAGACGAGGGTAAAGTATGGAAAATTAATTTAGATATTAAATCTAATTAGTAAATAAAAAGGAAGTTAACCAAAACGTTGGGAAGATGAAATAAAGAGTGTACCCGGCCCGCATCGGAGTCGCCAAAAATAGAGAATATTGGCAATCTTTAGAGGAGGCCTTTGTCGAGAGAAGGCTGTTTTGTAAACCACAACGAACGCCGAACGGAATACTTGATTATAAGTTGAATTTTAATTTAATTTATTATTAAGTAATTTATTAAGTTAGCAATAAGTAAGTAAAACAGCAATAAAGGCTTATTATTATTATTAAGGTATTGAAAATTAATTTAGATATTAAAACTAAATAATATAAATATTATTTTAGAAATTTAGTATTATACATAATATAAAAAAGTATAATTGAAAATATGTCATTACAGAAATATTTTGAGTTACGTTATATATCTGTTATATACTTATTTTCCAGATACCTAACGCATGAAGATAAATCGTGTTAATGGACTTTCATTATTTTTCCATTCCACAATAACTTTATTGTGCTTTTAAAGCTATCTAAGCTTACAAACCAGAACAAGTGATTGTTTTGAGATAGATTAAGAAATACTTCAGATAGGCAAAGTACTAAAATAGACAGGAGCTATTAGCAGCAACTCCAAAATAGTAAACAGTGGCTGGAACGTATGGGCGACTTATAACCCCACACGAGTAGGTACCACCACCCAACCCATTTCTGCCGCGAAAATGCCTTCTGGTTTGAAGGGTGAAACAGCCGTTATAGACTTAGACCTCATGTCTCCAAGTGAGTGGCAGCATTCACGTATCGATGTCTATGAGCTCGGTAATCGCTTAAAACCAGGTGGGCTGTGAGCTCGTTCACCCATCTAAGCAATAAAAAAGCTTATATTTTCTTCTAATTAATAATCGAAAGTACTAATATTTTATTTATGTATAAAGTGTCTTTATTTCATCTTAATTAATTTTGAGTATCTAACTAACTTGAATCATTAAGGCACCACACATTGCCAGATTGACACATAATGTTCATACTAACCACAAGCATAAACGATTTTGAGATAAGGCGTCGTATGCGGTTTGCAAGTAGATTCAAAATTCCTTGCGTTTACGACGATTTGACATCTTCTCCGCCCGAGACATATCTGCATTACCTTCTCAACAGTGTATGGCGCCGAGCATTCTGTAATAACTGATTTATTAACAAATTTGTCTCTAGAATATCACGATCGGTTCGAAAGCCTAGTCTACATCGTACGGCCAGCATAACATGATTTTTTATTCGTCTGTATTCTCAATATAATCAGTTCTTGATGTCGTTGCGGCCTAAAGGATAAGACGCCCGGCGTATTCGTATTGAGTGATTCGACTGTACCGGGTTCGAATCCCGCAGGCAGGTACCAATTTTTGTAATGAAATACGTACTTCACAAATGTTAACGAACGTGGTACACCTTACCTATCTATTTCTGCCGTGAAGCAGAAATGCGTTTCGGTTTGAAGGGCCGCCGTTCTACTTTCAAATTAAGACTTAAAACTCATGTCTCCGTTGTCAAATCCGTTGATAGTTTAAAAGATTTACTTCAAATACGGACCTTAATAGTAACCAAGCAATAGTAAAATATTTACTCCAAGCACGGGCCTTAATAGTAACCAAGTAACAAAATAATTTAATAAACATCATTCCCATTACTTACGATCACCTGGTTTCATGGTGAACGTCGTAAAACTTAATGCGTCATATTCAAGGGATAGGACCGAATAAAGTTTCTGGACTGGCCAAAAACTTTTCATGATCGTGTGTAACTTTTTACGATACGACCTCATTGATGGCAAACAAATTAAATATTAAAGTTTATTTCAACGGCTTATTTGGAGATTGGCATCATTTGATCCAAATTTGGTAAAGAGGACGCTAAATTTGAAATAAAAATTGGCTGGAACGCTTTTTTGGGCTTTTTTGGGGTCGAATGGTAATTTGTTTGTAACCCCATTTTTTTTGATTTCGTAAACTATCTCGATTTATTTTGAAAATTAATACCGAAATATTAGAGTACCAGCGTAATATACTTTTTTGGAGTGAACTATTTAGTTATATACAGTGGTGATTTATATGAAAATGAATAAATACACGTACGCTATATTCTGGATTTCAACGGTACTATATTATAGGGATAAGCACCCGGGAGGGGTTGCAACAGCCACCAAGAATCTAACACGAGTATTTAAGATAAGACCTAACCCAAAATCCCACTGGCGGGTCAGAAATTTAACTAAACTAACTAATAAAATAGGTAATGAATAGATTGGGGATACGGCTAATAATTAACTACAAAATAAACAATTTACGATCTGATATGCTGTCGGTATTTCGTTCAAAACCACGTTCCCGGGCAAGGGTAATATTTAACGCAGACGAATTCCAAACACGAAGGACCTCATGTAAATACGCAAAGAATCCTGTGACGTCATCGTCGTATTTAGGACAGTGACACACTTCGTTGGGACCACGTATTAACATTTTTAGGATGACAGCGTGGCTTATTGCATTTTTGGGTGTGTACCTTATAAGGACGAGTCGGATACGCGTCTGAATTTAAAATTAAACCGGACTAGTCGTTTCCTTCTTCGATAACATTGTTGTTTATGAATCATCATACTGTACTACTATATACTATGTTTATCTATAAAGTACATTTGGGAACGTATATTTTGCCTAATTTCTGTGTAATCTGTCCCAGTATAAGTGCCATTTTTTTTCCATTTTTAGGAGAAAGTCATTAAAAAGCTTTGTGTAACGAAACTAGAATTTCATTATTTTTTGTAAGAGCTGACAATAGATAAAATCCGCTATATTAGAGTTTGTTATTTCCGATTTTTATTTCCGATGTTTAGAATACTTTATAGTTTTCGTGGTCTTTCGTGGTTCATCATCCGACGTGTTTAGATTTGTTTCATCTATGTAGTAGGTTTTAAAATATGAATTATCCTTTCTTTATTTTCTTCTAAATGAAGTTTTGTGATAAGGATTATTTATGGCTTCCCCATCGGCTCCCCATATTTATGGCGCTAAACAACCATTAGTCGTAGTTTTATGATAAAATTAATCGAACCCATGTTTCAAGGTAGATAAAGGAAACAATGAGATCTTTAATAGGAACAAAAATATATTCGATCTTCGGCCTTATATTCGGTCTATATGTTTTTCAGTAGTTACCAGAGCCCATAGATAATCAACGTGAACGCGAATACTGACGTCCTTGAAGCAAACAAATCCGAAATATTAAATACAGTATTCTGTTCTCCCTTTCTATCATCCATAATAATAATAATTCATTTATTTGTATAGAATGCAGGTACCAGTATGGTCTTAGTATAAAATATATTCAATCCCACTACATTCTGCCTGTTGGCATACAAATTTAAAGGAGAAACTTACAGCTAATTTAAACTAGGTATTAAGATAAATTTAAGAATGAGATCACAAAAAGTTTATTATAAAAATTGAGATCTTAATAAGGAGAGTGTTACAATTCATCATTTAGGAAATCGGTAACAGAATAATAACACTTCTTTAATAACAGCGAAGACAGGAGTTATTTAAATTTCCTTAAGGGCTGATCCTTTATACTATTCGGCAATTTGTTGAATATAATAGGAGCCATATATAAAAAACGTGTATAATTAAAACTCACTCTCGTCGGGCAGACCCTGTGCTTGTGGACAAGATATCGTCTCATACGGTGTTCTTCCATACTTGGCGTCAAATATTGCGATCCTCGAATTACGGTTGCAGCTCAGCTTCACAACCTCATTCTCGCATACTGTGCGGCTCCGAAATTCAACTGCAACAAAACAGTTCTCTGAGGAAATGTTTGAGGTGATTACGTCACTTTAATTCCATTATCGCGCTAAAAAAAAACCACTGGAACTGAAATCGTCCCAACGATCTAATTCAGCTGCGTTCTGCTGCGTAGCCAACGATATCTGCGAGTAATGAACTTGCCACTACCTTGTTTCTGAGTGCATTTTTTTCTTCAAACAATTATTGAAAACACTGCTCGGCAGTATGACAGTACCAATGTTCAGAAACGATGACCGTCATCATGTGGGCAGTAAGCTCATTTACTTTCTAAAGAAAGAAATGTATGGAAATCGTCATGGCCTAAAAGATAAGATTCCCGGTGCATTCAAATGGAGCGATTTTCGAATCCTACAGCTTTTTTTCTAATGAAATACTTACTTAACACATATTCAAGAATGAATTTCACGATGAAAGAATAAAGTGTGTTATTACTGAAAATCTTCATCGTCTTATGAAAACGCATAGTGTAGGATGTAGGTGCCAGCTTTTACCAGCCAAGTTATCTGGAGTGAAATAGCCATTATACTATAGAACTAAGAACTCATGTCTCTAGGCGAATGGCAGTATTTACGCTCTGGTAACCGCTTACCATCAGGTGGGCCGTTTCACCAATAGAAACTTTGTTTTGTTAGCATGCTACTTGACGTAAGAATGAACGCAGTGAAACTAATTAGGGATAAATACGAACTAAGATATAAACTTGAGTAGAGGAAAAAGAAAGTCAAAGCCAGAATATGAATTTCTTTCTCAATTGTATTACTTACACTACCATACGAATAGATGGCCATTAAACAACTCCGAATGAGAATGTCGGGTCTCGTAGTGGGTGATTAAATTTACATTGAGATGTCTATTAAATCTCTAGAAGCTATCTTCTAGTCAGACACCTACCACTATCTAGATTACTAGTAATTAGTTCACACAAAATTCGGGCCTCAGCTATCTATCACATTGGCATATACGAAACGGGATTACCCAGGCCCCTAACGCCAAACTATTTACATTAAATTATAAATTGAAACTTCTATTATGTGTTTCTTACACGATTACGCAAAAATAACTTCAAGTGATTTTGATGAAATTTCAGACAAAGATCCATTGCTAATATTATAAATGTGAAGGTGTGTTTGTTTGTTTGTCTTTCTTTCACGTCGAAACGAAGTCACGGATTCATATTGTTTTTTTTAAAAGTATAGTATTAGGTCAGGCGAAATAGGCTTTATCCGGAAAATCCATTTAATTGCTACAAACTAAACTCACATATTTCCTTGAATATGCGGGCGAAGCCGTGGGTAATGGCTACTAATTACAATTTGAATCAACAGAATTAACAGCACATTTACTACTTTTTATTATTGTACATGATATGACTAGAATCATGCCGGGTATATCAGCTATACTCGAGTGAAACCGTGTAACATTTTTTCCTTTTTTTTATTGCCCTTGTAGGCAGACGAACATCCGGCCCACCTGATGGTGAGTGGTTACCGTCGCCCATGGACTTCAGCAATGCCAGGGCAGAGCCAAGCCGCTGCCTACCGTTGTCTAGTCATTAGTCAAACCAACAAGGCGATTCCGAAATAAACACGAAATCGGTAATACTTGAACAAGCACAATACGCGATAAATGTATTTATTGTAAGGATCCCAATAACGCAGACCGCATTTACACTATCGCCCTATATTTAACACAAACGACTACAAAACCCTTTCGATCCATTAGTACGTAATCCGAAGCCAGCAATACGATAAAAGCCCCGACTTGAGTGTTTTATCAATTAGCACTCGCCCGAGTTTTATACATATTAAGGATATGTAATGGGTAGTTTAATCGATGGGTCGTTATTCAAACAATTTTAATGGCCAATNACCGCATTTACACTATCGCCCTATATTTAACACAAACGACTACAAAACCCTTTCGATCCATTAGTACGTAATCCGAAGCCAGCAATACGATAAAAGCCCCGACTTGAGTGTTTTATCAATTAGCACTCGCCCGAGTTTTATACATATTAAGGATATGTAATGGGTAGTTTAATCGATGGGTCGTTATTCAAACAATTTTAATGGCCAATGCTATAACCGGCTAGCACCGACAACTGTTATCGTATTAGTGTGATTTATCTTTCTCATAAACTCATAGATTATGATGCTTTATTGTAAATTGGATTGGACGAAATATAGTATTACCATTCAATACAATGGAGAGCCGGATATATCTTGTTTACCGAGTATTAGCTCTATAACTTTAACGCTAGAACATAGCGTCCTTGTCTGTACGAACCAATTTCGGCAACGGCGACCCGCTTATTGATAGCTACTCTTTAGTCTAACATTTCTGAACGTTGATTTTTAAAAGTATTAAAACCAATTAAAATTATTTCGATTAAGAGATAAAACAATCAACATTTCAAACATCAAGCATAAGTCCTAAAATTGGATGATCATTTTAAATTCAATTAGCATTCCTTGTCAATACTTATTAGATTATTTTGTTATTGCCTTCGAATTGTCTATTGAGACAAAGACTTTGTGTTCCAAAGAGGATCGCAGAACTAATCTAATCCAAGGACCTTAGAAACGAAATTCTTAAGCTCCGCGACACAATTATATAGAATCTATTCGAAAAATTATTGAGTTTAACTGTTAATCAAACTTGAGCTTAGTAGCTATGGACAAACCTTTCCTTTTTTAAACTATTATACATAACAAAAAGCTATTACTGTTGATTGAGGCTACGTAAACTATTTTAGCTAATCAATTTGCGAATTCGCATTATACAGAATGTATTCGAAAAATTATAGATTGTAACTGTTAATCAAACTCTTGAATTCGGTAGTTATCGATAAATCTTTCTTTTTTTAAACTAATAGACATAAGAAAAGCTATTACTGTTGATTGAGGATACGTAAACTTAGCTAATCATTTTGCGAATTCGTATCATATTACCAAAGCTACCGCAGGTGGTATTTTTTTCTACTTATTGCTTAGATAGGTGGATGAGCTTACAGCCCATCTGATGTTAAGTGGTTACTGGAGCCCATAAACATCAGACATCTACAACGTAAATGGGCCACCCACCTTGAGATATAAATTTTAAGTTCTAAAGTCTCAAGTATAGTTAAATATAGTCAAATCTAAAATTAAAATGTCGAATTCCGCAACACTAAATAGTACAATCATTAATTAATTGGCAACCCTCATCGCTAATCATTTTCACCTTTAGACATCAAAAACGTTGTTGCACTTTCCTTAGTTCAGCAAGTCATTACATTAACGCTCGGTCACTTACCACCTTCCTGCAAGTTTCGTAATGAGTGCCGACCGGCCGGCCGGGCGCACCTCGGCACTCCTGCACCACACCCTCGTGCATTGACCCCGGAAATTTATTAACTGGACATAAATCACGCCAATACACTTGCAGGAGCCCTCATAAAAACACTTACGTCACGTTTTCAACGAATCGCATTCCCCTCATTTGTTTTCGTATAATCATCGGTCATTGTCTCGAAATCTCTTTGAATACAATTCGATTTTTTTGTTTATTTTGTATTATATATTATAGCTTTAATTACTACTAGTCGTACTCGCCCGCTTCGCTGCGCATTTAAAATTAACATTATTATTTATTGTCATTATTATTAGGGAGTCCAACACTCATATAAATATTAGCCTATCCATTAAGTACATGAATACCAAGTTTCAAGTCAATCAGATGCATGGTTCAGTAGTTATAACGGAATATCCGTAAAAACCATTGTAGATTTATATATTAGTATAGATGTAGTTTATGCTAATCATGTTTCATGTCCCCACATCATACGCATTTAAAATAATTAACCATTTATCATGTGTCGAATTAAATTTAATTCTCAATTTAACATCGTGTTGTTAGCTTTGCGTTTATTCGTTTATTTTGTTTATGAACATATGCTCAATTTTCCTTAGGGATAATGATAATTATGTATACAATACATTGAGTCAAATAATCATATATATAAGTGACATCTTACTCTGTTTAACAAAAAAAATTTAATTATCTTTTAAATGGAAAATTTTAATTTATACGTTGACCTCACCTCGTACCTCATACCTCATACAAAATTGCAATATCTGTCCTTAGGGAAATTACCAAAAAAAACATTATGATGTATGCATACCTAATAGGTAACTTCTCCTAATACCCGTACACGCAATTTGAAAATTTCCCTTGAAATTTCTTGTCTCTAATCTAACACGACAGATTTGATTTGGCATGCCAGACTCTTCGTAGCTAGTTTAAATTTAAATTTAATTTAAATTAATTCGATTTTCCGTTCGTATATACCGAATATAGTGCCGACCGAAAACAAATTAGTTATAAATTTAATAACGGCTTCAAACAGATTATGTAATTTGGTGGTTGCGTGAAACAGTTAAATGTCACAAAAGAAAATGTTCAATAACTTGCCACTAATGGGCTTGACGACTAACTGTACTCATAAAAGGGGAACATCATAGCGACACATTCAGCATAATGTCTCCGCGTCGGGCAAAAGCCATGAATTTAAAAGCATTATTATTTTCACGTGCGAACATTGAACATATGTTCAGAATGTTTTTTTTTTATATGTTGTTTGCTTAAATGTTCATTTATGCCGTTTGCTTATAATAGACGGTCAGATTTGCAAAAAAAATTGCTTCCTTTTTCGTGTGTATGCTTTTTAGTGAATGCTTGCTTTTAATGCCCACTGAGTTTCTCGCCGGATCTTCTCAGTGGGTCGCGTTTCCGATCCGGTGGTAGATTCTGCGAAGCACTGCTCTTGCTATGGTCAGTGTTAGCAACTCTTCGGTTTGAGCCCCGTGAGCTCACCTACAAACGTTAGGGTGAAGCGGAAATAGTCTCTCAAGGGTATCAGCATAGGTAGGAAAAAAAAATGCTATTATTATAATATTTATATGCAAATATTATTGTGGCGGGTAGCCATCATACAACGCAATATAATTGACAGATGCCTGAATCTCGCTTACGACATTTTCAAGATAAAGCGCATATATACAAGCTCCGAACAACAACACTGTCGGTCTACCGAGCAATATCACCCGCTCGGTGGAAGATCTTTCCTTTCTTCGGAAGCCTCTATATTATTACTGAAAAACCATAAAGCAAAGTTATAGAAGATTCATAGGTTTTATTTATAGAGTTCAGGTAAGCCGTGTGAATGAGAATTTATAGTGTCAAATCAAGTGTTTAAGGTTGAAGAAACCATAATCAACTAAAGAACCTAATAGTATTTTAATAGGTAAATTTAGTCTAAATGACGAAGTAGTATTAAGGATATTTTCGTGTAAGCGATACGACCTTCGAATACTGGAAAACATCATCTCATTTCTCATAAAAAATTATTCAATGATGTTCTTCATAAATATTTTATTTGAAATCATAGCAGCATCGAGATGTATACCGTTTCATTCAATTCTTACAAATCTGTTATTAAATAAAGTTGTCGTATTGAAAATACGAGCTCGAGTCTCAAGTTATTGTTCATGTCGTAATGTCTATGGATCACACATCAGGAGGACAATTATCCCGTTCATCAATCTAGTGCAACAGAAAATAAGACATGGACATAAACACACAAATTTACACAGCCAAAAATGTTTTTTTTTATTGCCCAGGTGTGTGGACGAGCTCACAGCCTACCTGGTGTTAAGTGGTTACTGGAACCCATAGACATCTACAATGTAAATGCGCCACACAAAAATTCTAATACATACATATTATGTTTCACAGGAAGTTAAGCTTCGTGTTGACTGCACAATTTTGGCAAGATATTTATTTAGCTCTTCGATGACACTACTTACAAGGCCGACATTTGTATGCCATTTCAACATATTTTCTCGCAGAGGGACAGGGATCCGCTAGTCCTGGCTTCAGCGTCGTACTGAAGATGCACTGGGACTTCTTCTGGCACTCCTGAACCACAGTTTGCAGAAGCGAATACTGAAACAAAGTGGATTGTACAGACGTAATTTCAAGCCCTCAAATTATTATAACGTTTTTTTTATTGCCCTTGTAGGCAGACGAGCATGCGGCCCACCTGATGGTGAGTGGTTACCGTCGCCCATGGACTTCAGCAATGCCAGGAGCAGAGCCAAGCCGCTGCCTACCGCTTAATACTCTCCACGAGCCTTTTATAGTCATGAATTTAAAATGAAAAATTCTGTGTTGATTTTTAAAATCTTGAATTCGAAGTTAAGTTAGGTTTACCTACCTATAAACCCTATATACGAAACTCGGAAAAGTTCCATGAACCAAAATTCAAGATCAAATTCAAATTTCGACTGACAATTTCGTCGTTCGTCATGAAGAAGCTTAAGCCATTCGAAGCTTCGGAAATTCTAAAATTAAAACAATAAACTCGACACGGAACCGTAAAGTTTTAATTGTATCTACGAATCTCGAAAACCGTAAAGCTTCAAGTCAACTGAAAGTCTCCTTTGATTTTAATACTCATGATGAGCGACTCGAACTTAAGGATCTAAGCTTAGTTTCAATTGCATCGAAAGCCCATCCAACCTACCCTACAAATTGGAACATATAAATTAATCGTGTCCGAAAAAAAATATTAAATAATAAATAAATTTATTGTGTATTTCTAAATTAAATTTACAAACTTTTACTGGTGGTAGGACCTCTTGTGAGTCCGCGCGGGTAGATACCACCACCCCGCCTATTTCTGCCGTGAAGTAGTAATGCGTTTTGGTTTAAAGGGCGGGGCAGCCGTTATAACTATACTTGAGACCTTAGAACTTATATCTCAAGGTGGGTGGCGCATTTGCGTTGTGGATGTCTATGGGCTCCAGTAACCACTTAAAACCAGGTGGGCTGTGAGCTCGTCCACCCATGTAAGCAATAAAAAAAAAACTTAATTACTGTTCTCCAACTCTCGCAAGTGTGATAAAATGCGAATACAGAATTCATTTGAGTATGGGCAGTAGTATTCTACAAACAGAGTCCGATCCCGCTTTTGTATACGGTTTGAAAACACAACCCAAACATTGACTTCACATAACCACGTGACTTATGAGGTTTGTGACCTCGGGTAACCCACTCATCACTAGAAGAGGACTTAAATTCATATGTTCATCCAAAGCAATTGAAGACATGAGTGGATGAAAGGGCTAAGTGCCATTTTTTATATTTTTGATTTTTTTACATTGAATTAAGGTTATGTGCCTATAAACCTTAAAACTCCGGGTTTAAAGGCTATTTTTAGAAATTGCATGTAATTAAGGAGTAGTGTACGAAGAAAAAACATTATCACTTTGAATGAAAGTGACATGGGCACTTATTCAACGTATTCTTTACTTTTAAATATTTCCAAACAATAATACTCTGGAGTGAATGAAGGAGATATGTATAGGCATAATTACGTTTACGCTATAACATCTCAAAAATAAGTAACAAAAGTTTATTGCCCGTTTTCTCAAAATTAACAAATTCTATTATATCCCCTTCGTCCACTCACGTCTTCAATTAAAAAAGTGATAATTTGGGTTACAGTACTAATATACCTGCATTGAGTTTGGCCATTTGCATTTCTTCTCCCCTTCCGTGCCTATCAGCGTAGTCTCCGCCACACAACCCTGGTCTTTCGGCGCAGCATTCCCGTACTGTGCGACTTGAATGCTGATAGACGTTCCTGTGGGACAGGCCAAGGACACTTGCTCATCATCACACACCGTTCGATGAACTGTCTTGAGAGTGTCAATCAGCAGCGCTGTAGAAGAAAAATATAGTGCTATAATCTTTTTTTGTTTTTTTATGACTTATTTAATGTTTCTACATTAGCTTTGGGCCTGCAGCTACACCCTAACTCCGAGCTACATTGTATATTAAATCGATCAGCTTAAACTATTTCGATACCGAATTTCATCAAAATCGATTCATTGCTTGGAGTGTGGAAGTGTAACAAATAATTTCATATTGTTATGCTATGCCCCTCACACTAGTACCTAAGTCATATATCAATTCTTATAAACACATAATGTACTCAAACTCTTAGTTCTTAAGTTCTAAATCATTGTTACTATATAACATACTTATTTTCTTATGTTACTAAATCATATGTATATTGTTTACTTTACATTAAATCTTCATTTGTAATTAGAACATTAATGAATATGTATTCCTTTCACATTAGTAATATACTGTCATTTACTAACTGTGTCGTTATGGATTCTAAATGTTTAGCAAAAAGGTTCATATTGTAAATGATTAATTTACTAATTGTTTAGTAAATACTATTCGTGTATAAATTCACTTTCTCCTTGTTACTTAGGAGTTCGATATCAATCTTCAAGCTTATAACACCCTTACTCTGTCCGTGTAACATTAGATTTTTGTAAAGGATATATAAATTCAGTGTGTATTAAAATAAAGTTTTTTTAAAACTACAAAACTGCTCACCATGTAACAGGATTATTTGTGTTGTTTTCTATGTAACTTCTAACATATAAATATTAAAGTTAATCACTAAAATATTTTAATGACGATAAAATATATCTCGAGGAGGCCCTTGAGACGTAAAGTATTATTATTTATTATAAAGTTTATTTAATTCTTATTAATAAACGGCTTAGACCGTATGTGAATATAACAAATCGTTTTGCTTGCTTTTATTTTTATTTATGAAGTGATAAATAGACAAAAGCTTCGACATTCAATATTCGCAGCGCCATAGGGGAAGTCGTGTGAAACAATGGTCGAAAGATAACGGTTATAAAAGGTGCTTGTAACTCTTCACAGATAACTACTGTTAGGGGGTTCGAAATGTATATTACGTAGTAACGTTATGTCTATAAAATGATGAGATTCCGCATTTTCGTCTCTCAATATTCATTGCTATTTCACGCCATTTCATGAATAGTTTGTATTGAATATTAGAACAAAGAGTATTAAAATTCTAAAATCAGAAGTGACTTTTGTTTTAGGGCTTAGGTTTTTGTTTGTTTGTTTGTATAGTTATAACGGCTGTCCCATCCTTCAAACCGAAACGCATTACTGATTCACGGCAGAAATAGGCAGGGCGATGATACCTACCCGCGCGGACTCACAAGAGGTCTACCTTTTCTGATCTTGCCCTCCTTCGGGTACCATTCAGCGACTAAATTAGTCTACCTGCCTCCAAAGGCTCAATTAAGAAACAAATGTATATCCAAAAAACAAACCGTCCAAATTGAGAAACACCTATCGAATAAAAAAATAATTGTGGCTCTGTTTGCTTGTTCCCCCCTTATTCCTTCGCGTCTCGTTTATCGGATTGAAATGGAACTAGTGCAATTTCCTTTCAGACTTTCTGTGAGGTTCTTAAAGACGCGATAATGTTCTTTACTTAATATTTTGGGTTTGAAGCGTATCAGTGTTCATTCTTCTTATCACGCTGTATGGATGGACCAGCTCCACGTCGACCTGGTGTTTAATGGTTGCCCGAACTCTTAAATAACATAACGTGTATGCATCTTCTCATCTTGAGACATAAAGTTAAAGATTCAACTGTAATTTATGACGACTCACCCATCCCTCAAATAGGCCAGCAAAAATAGAGCTCACAACATCCCTTCCATCAGATTACATGATTTTTATTTGTTATCTTTTATTATTGGATATATGGACTGTTTTTCGATACACGATGATATTCCTTTATCATGGAAAACATTCGTGAACACGTGCTGAGCGTACCTATACTACAATAAATATATTTCCTTGAAAATTTTACACGTTCTTGCGAGATTTAAATCATAAGAAAAATATTTTATTACAAAAAATTAATTGAAAATAATAATTCAAAATAATGAATAGAATTAAAGATATCATTTCATTGTACAATATATCGCCTCAAAGCCAATTTGGCTATCAACGAACTACAGTAATATCTCAAAAATCAAACTTTTCGTCAATTTCATTATGCGTGATTATTCCTAATCCAAAGATTCCTAGAACAACAAAGCAAACAAACATTGGAGTCCTTAACTCCATTTATTAATGAAATCAAAATGAATACAATACAATATAAAATTATATATGTTGGCGCACGTCAGGGATGGCTGAGCGGTAGGTTCCGTCATCACTCGTATTTGGTTGAACTCAGTTTATAAAAAGTCAATAAAACCTTTTGAATAATAATTATTGAAACTCAAGAAACACAACTTTCACAATGACAGGATAAGCCGACAGTTTCGTTGCACATACCGACAGACCGACTGACTGACTGACTGACTGTCAGAGACTCACTGACTGAGACGGACGGAATGACTGTCTGACACGGAATGCCACGACTCTGTCCACGTACCGCCATTTTATACTGTGGCGTTACGGAGTCTACCCTTCATTTTGTGATATTTATCAAAATAACATTTCATCATTTAAAAATAATAATCAAAACCACCGTCTTAATCATAGATTATACACTTAATATACTTGTCTTAATATTACTAAAAGTCGTTATCCACAACTAAAAGTCGTTATCCACGACATATATTATATTATAATTGTTTATAACAGAATAATAATAAAGCTTTTATACGAATTCAATAATAGGTGAAAATATGAGGGGCTTTTTCATTGAAATGGTCCTTGGAAAATTCATATTCAACAATTGTTCTAAAGCCACGCCGTATTCTCTCTCAATAAATTTACTGAACTGCGAATCTCGTGTAAAGTTCAAAGCTGTTTATTTAATACATTTGAACTGTGTACACACTGGCGGTAGAATGGAATAGGAAACCGGATCAACAGGGCAGCTCTTATTGTTGAAGTAGTTATGGCATTATGTGTGACGTCATTTGGGGTTAAATGTATGACTTGCTAACCCCAACCTCTGTCCATCGTATAGTAGCCATAGGCACGTTCCGACCTCATCAATACGATAAATGTAATTCTTGAGATTAAACTTACAAATTATTCTAACAACAAACTAGGGCTTGCCTGTTTGAGACCATGAAATGTTTTGCTTTAATTACATTACTCCAGTTATTACTTGAGTTTAAACAATATAATTACACATTTCACGATTCTTATTCATAATTCACTGTGCACACACGTAAGTTCCTAATGCATGTTATGAAGTAGGTCACCCATTAGCCGTTTATAACAGCCTCCATTTAATTAAGCGTATATATGAATGTGTATAAATAGGTAAAGTAAAGTTCACTGTTTAAAAAGCATATAATCAAATATAACACAGCACCGTTTTTGGGTTTAGATTATTTATTTATTTAAACGGATAAAGTAAGTCACGAGCCACCTGACACTGAGTGGTTACTGTCCATAGACATCAGACTGGCGAGAGTCAGTTTATTACTGGTGGTAGGATCTCTTGTGAGTCTGCGCAGGTAGGTACCACCACCCTGCCTATTTCTGCCGTGAAGCAGTAACGCGTTTCGCTTTGAAAGGTGGGGCAGCCGTTGGGACTATACTTGAGACCATAGAACTTATATCTCAAGGTGGGTGGGGCATTTGCGTTGTAGATGTCTATGGGTTCCGGCAACTACTAAGCACCAGGTGGGCTGTGAGCTCGTCCACCCATCTAGGCAATAAATAAAAAGTCACCTTGAAACGTGAGATTCAAATCTCAATTTGACTGTTCAAATTCGTTGAAATTTTTGAAATAATTAGCTTGTTTTGAATATAAAATATTTTTCAACAGGGACCAGTGAAGTAAAAAAATTAGGGTTCATAAATCCAAAAATCTCTACAACCATTTTAATTACTTGAGTACGACGCATATCTTTTTAATTCAGCTATATCTATCGTTAGGTAAACAGCTTTTTTAAATTTGAGTGGTCACAAAATTAGAGCATTGTTAATTGATGGATTTCACACAAGGTGAGACAATAACATGAGCGGTTCCCTTTGCCGCACCCACTCGGCTATTAATTAAAAACGTGACGGGTGCGAATTCAGCCCTTTCATGTTCGTGACTTAGTGAGACCCTAACAATGGGCTCGTAAAGATGTGGACTGAAGTAATTTAGTCAAGCCGCCAAATTTAACTAATTTATACGCACTTCATTGTGTCAAACTATAGTAGAAAACAACCCAAATTCTGGTAGCAAGTACAATGTAGACACATTTTTCAATGTTTTTGTTTCAGAAGCTAAATTGGCAATGATGATATTTAAAAAAAAAATTGGAGACACAAAACCCGTTCAAAATCTAACATTGATTTACAAGCATCACATTACAAACTGAATTTAATACTAAACTTGTACTAAAATAAATCAAATAGCTCATATTCTTCAAGAAGGTGCTATTCGTTACCGAATTTAAAAAATCAGTTTTTTTAAATTCGCTTATTATACTCGTAATAGTTAATAGCCACCACGACCTGTAGACTGAGTCTTAGCCATAGTCAAGATCAAATGCTAGTTGCCGCCATCCACAGTAGGACATGAAATTAAAATAGGTCTCAATTTCACAACATCTGTACCACCCCTCAAACCGGAACGCATTACTGCTTCGCAGCAGAAATGGGCAGAGTACTAATACCTGCCCGTAAGGATTAAAAACAATCAATATCATAAACATTAATTTCGTTCATTTCGTTAACATTCCTTTTTTTTTTATTTATTGCTTAGATGTGTGGACGAGCTCACAGCCCACCTGGTGTTAAGTGGTTACTGGAGCCCATAGACATCTACAACGTAAATGCGCCACACACCTTGAGATATAGTTCTAAGGTCTCAGTATAGTCACAACGGCTGCCCCACCCTTCAAACCG